GAAGGCTGAGTCAACCCTGAGCCGGTGAGATTTGAACCGCTGACCTGCTGATCTAGCAGTAGCCTGCAGTGCTGCATTTAACCACTGTGCCACTTGGCTCTTTATATGACAATAAATGGAGAGAAAATAGTCCTGATATTTCTAGTTGCCCTTTCAGGTCTGTCTTTCTTGAAACACAACCCCATCAATCAGTTCCTTCTTCTCCTGGACATTGGAAAGCTAAAGATAGGATCCTCTCTTGGAAAATGGAGCCGTTTCTATTATAAAATATCTTGTTTACTTTAAGAGACACATTTTTAGAGACTAGAGCACTGCATTCTTATATATAACATATTGTACTTGTCTGGTGGCCCAATTGGATGCTGAGATTGCGGCCTGGGTGACCCTCTGCTCCCCATGCCAACTTTCTGGCCCCCCCCAGCGGTCCCTTCTCGAGACTGGGAGGCTCCGAGAGGGCCATGGTCACGGCTTCACATTGATTTTGCTGGACCTTTTCATGGCCAGGTATTCCTGGTCATGGTGGACACGTACTCATGCTGGGTGGAGCTGGTACTCATGACCTCCTCCACAGCTGAGAGTACCATCAGGCCCTTGTGCTGCTTGTTCGCAACACACGGCTTGCCAGATGTGGTGTCCGACAATGGCCCTCAATTCGTGTCTGCCACATTCCAGGATGCAGGGCATCCGGCATGTGCCAACCGCCCCCTATCATCCAGCCTGCAAGGGCAGGGCGGAACACACTTTCTGCTCAGCCAAGGAAGCCCTTGGAGCAATTGGCCGGCAAAGGTGGCGGCTTACCTGCTAAGCCAGCAGTTGACTCCTTGCCCCACTACCAACAAAAGCCCCTCGAGACCAGCGCAACCACTGATCCAAGGGCCCTGGACACCGCTGCCCTCCAGCCAGTCATTGCACCACTGGGGTCATTGGCCAACGACTTCCAGTTCGAGGCCGTCCCACAGTCAGGCCTCTCCTACCCGGACACCACCTGCTGCCCATCGTCTCCACGCTCTCCTCAAACCATTCCGGCATCCCCCCAGGTTTTCGAAGCCTTATTTATACGGGCCACTCTGGCCTTAGTGACCCAGCCGCTGCCTACTGGCAGCCGGGCTGTACTCCTTCCCCTAGCGGCGCGCCTCCACGGCCCAGCCTACCTGATTCATTGCACTCGCCTTCTGGGCCTCTCCAAGATGGCATCACTCGGAGCTCCACTTCCTTTGTTGAGGAGCTACCACGAGCACGACTCACCCCTCCGACAACTCCGATCCAACTGAGGCATTCGTGGTGGGTCCGGCGGCACACCACCTATTTGAGCGAGTACGCATGCGCTATGTCCGCGCATACACTCTCACTGGGGGCGAGGAGTGTTGAGGATCAGAAAAGTCCTGAACTTACGACCTAGCGGCCAGCAACAAGCCAAGCCGCATCCTAGTTGGCTAAGGTGCAGCTTGGCTAAGCGTGGGCCACTAGGGGCGCGCTAATTGGTTTTCCCTGCTTGACAGCTCCGTATTTGAATTGCCTTGTACATAGTTCTTGTTACAAATAAAGCAGTTGTTCTTACCTCAGCCTTGCCTCCTGCTTCGTCTCTCGCCGAACTCACAAAAGTTTAGCTACTCCATGCATCTGATTAAATGAGATGTAACTTGTGAAAGCTTATGCCTTTTAGTAACACGCTTTAGTCAGATGTGCTTCCAGTTTTATTAATTTTGGCTGACATAGACTAACTCATCTCTCTTCCTGTCTTACGAAACAGTTGAAAAGAGCTTCTTGATTAGCAAAAAAGAATATCTGATAGTAAAAACATTTTATCATAGATAAAATCTGTGGCCCTGATAATTTAGTGATATTAATCTTGATATTGCTTTGAAACAAAGCTTTCTGCAGTATTTTCAAATTCTAGGCAGGACTTGTTTTTAATTTTTAGAAAGTTCCTCTGAATAGTATTCTTTTTTTTGACTGGAAAAACATTGTAAAAATGACAAAGAAAGAAACAGTTCACTCAAATATGTAGAGTTACAGGAAGTCACTGGATATTTCTCTTTGTTCATGAATGCTTTTAAAAATACTGTAAGTAGAAAGTGAAGATGGGGGGGGGGCAGGAAATAGGCTCTTGGGATAAAGTTTCAGAACTGATGTGCTGAGACCTGCTCTTCTTCTACCAAGGAAAAGTACATTTTGGTTTTCAAAAGAGAAGTAACTTTTTTCTCTTAAACTAGTAACTTCTCTTTTGAAAACCAAGATTGGCTTACATTTGGCCACCAGATTATTGAAGCTGAGATTCTTGGTGTTTTTCAGGAGATGTTGCTATGAGGAAAGACGTCAGAGATGACTGATGTTGAGCCTGTAGTCACAGATTTTGCTGCATCCGGACGGGCAGGGCGCCGAAATGCTTTACCAGACATTCTGGGTTCTTCTGCCGGAGCTGGAACGTCCGAACTGCCACACAAATTAGCAAAACTCTCAATGTCAGAAGGTAATACTTTTGTGACTCAAAAGCTACTTTTTACTCTTTGAATAACTTTAAGAAATGTTCTTCATCAAGGCATCATATTACTGTTGAAAGAAATGTCCTTCTGGGTTCGGCTCCAAGTGGCATTCCAAGACACTGGAGACATGGAGGCTGCTTGGAAAATGGTTTATTGGTGGACAGGACCACATGGCTTGAGTCCTGAACAGAAAAGGGAAATATCCTAGGAAATATTGAAAAGGCAGAATATTATATTTCCCTGGATGTGAAAAGGAAGAAACATGTTTCAAATTAAGCATAGCTCCCTGTAGCTTCCTGCCTCCACCCACTTTGTCAATGGGCCATTAAGAAGGCCAAGCTAGTCCCTTTATATAATAAAGAGTTCTCCCCTTCAGCTCCAGGGGATGGGATTAAGGCATGATAATAAAGTAGAATAAAATATGGATTAAAAATATAAGAATT